ACATTTCACTTGATGGAAACCGACTTTAAGTCCAGAGTTGAAACCACCTGGCTCCACTTAGGGCATCAAGAGTATCATCAATTCTTGGTAGTGGGTATGAGACCTTTTCGGTTATACTGTTAAGAGCCCTGAAGTCCACACAGCAACATTGGGTCCCATCATTCTTCTGGACTAACACGACGGGAGCTGACCAGGAACTATTTGATTTCTCAACCATCCCTCCTTTAATTAGGCCATCCATGACCTTCTCCATATCTTGTCGCTTTACTGGAGCTATTCTCCTCGGAAGGATATTTATTGGACGGTGATTGCCTGTGTTTATTTCATGCTTCACAAGGTCTATGCAGCCAAGGTCATGATCTCCTTTTGAAAAGACGTCTGCATAATTCGTCAAGATTTCCTTAACCTGAAAAGCATGTGATGATGACAAGTGGTCTATGCTCTTCTTATAGAGTCAGTTAAATGTTCTGGGAAAGGATGTCCTTTCTTTATGGTTGTATTTCTTGCCTTAACATCGAGTAGCTCTACCTCCTGGCACACACCCAACAATGCCCCTTCCTTAAGTGTCTGCTTAATTTAGAGAAATTAGCCACTGTTATGGGTACTACTTGAAGACCTGCCACAAGTAACCTTCCAATCTTCACGTCTGCTGGCCTGGATGGGTCTTCCACTGCTTCCACAAGCATCGGGCTTCCTTGGGGATGTTCTTTTATTCTACCCTAAATTATCTTCTCTAACATACACAGTATTGTAGTAGACTTAACTGCTGTGACATGCAAATCAACAGATGCAGCAACACTTGCTGGAAGTTGGCCTTTATTGTTCCCAAACGTCATTTTATCAAAGTTAACTACATACTTCCTTGGTAGTAAGTAGTCCAACCCTAATATGCATGGGGAACTTTGTCATAGATTCTACATCTCAGCAAACCCTTTTGAGTATCAAGGTACTAGATCACAAAGGAGTACCAGAAGCCATGCAGAAGCTCTGTGTTGTGACAAGACAGTATGCGAGGTTGTGGGGACCAGTGTGGGTAACTATTGAGCTCATGGGCATAAAGGACAGACACAAAGTATACTTGGCTGACATTGAAGTGCACTTTTGGCCATCCAGCTTTCCTGTCACATAGACACTATGTGTACTTGCCATTTTACACTTAGCTGTTGGGACTTTCACAATGGGGGTTGGTGGGCATCCCTCAACACCAACCACTACTGGTTTCCCGAAGCTGACTTATTGGTATTATTCTTCTTACCCTGGATCCTCATATGTTCCTACTCTCCACAGTTCCAACAACCTTTCTAGGTAGCAGCCTTTCCTGCCGTGGCATCTTCCCTGTGTTGAAGTTGTCGGCATTGAGCTCTCTTGTGCCCAGGTTTGTTACTGTGCCAGCAAAATCCCTCAAACTTCTCTGAAACCTGCTCTTTTCTGGCCTTGAATCCTGATGACTACCAACCTTGGTACCTCTGTGCTGGACTTAGCGTAGGATTCGAATACAAGAGCTTTGGTCATTGCATCCTGCATAGTAGAGGGGGTGTGCTTGTTTACTGGTATCTTTAGTTGTAGACTGTCCAAGGTATCTACAAACTGATCTCTTAGTAACAGATTGAGTACATAGGGTGGTGCAGTTAGATAGGCTTTGTGTGCCAATCTTTCCAAATCCTGTGCCAACTCTTGCAGGCTCTCCCCTTTAGCACGGACTTGCGTCCGAAACCTAGCCCTGTACACTTTGGACTGATTTTGAGTTCCATACTGTGGCTTCCTTCGTACTAGATCATCCCTATTGCTGACACTCGTGTCTGGAATGTAACTTCTGACAGGACTGAAGATGTCTGCATTAGGGTTTAGCTGCAGGGTCTGGAAGGGGCTTCCTGTTGTTTGGAGCTGATTAGGTTCATGGTTAATATATCTTATATTATATTATATCTTATATTAACGTAACTACTGTTCGCTTCTTTAATTATCTATCTTCACTGGCTTCTCTGACAGGCTTATATACTAGAGAAAAGGGCGTCTCGAACGCACTAGTACTCCCCCGAAAATTCATGATCATTCGAGAAATTCATCACGTGTCACCAGCGTCACGCGACTTCCGCTGTAGTAACTTATCGTTATTTACAATTATTTGGCAGATTTCATTTATCTCTACAATGAGTGTACTAACGAAATTTACAAAAACAAGCTAACAAAAACTAGAACTCTTTCTAATCATACTGAGCTCAAAGTGCCCTAAAAGTTATCTTCATGCCACTATAATGTACAAATTACCTACAAGTTCGTATCACATATTAAACTATAAATAGTATTTTTTTCTGACGAATCACGATGGCATAAATTATTTGAAAATTCCTCCCATTGTTGTATAAGTTACAAACAAATTTTTTTTTTCAAACTGTAAATCATCTAGAAGTTCCCTTCATTAATGAACAACTCGCTCAATTTGCAGCTATGACATCTAAGTTTGGAGAAGCCTAAAATTTTATGCGTGTCCTGTTGGTTTTTTAATATACTAACTAACTTACCCTTTCAACGCACAAGGAAAACACAGTGGTCTCCGAGGGTGAAACTTAGACCATCTTTCCTCGGAAGGCTTTAAGCGTATATGCTAGGTTCGTGACAATTCATACACACAGAAACGTTGGTCAAATAATGTTTTAGATTACGTAAACACACGCCACCCTGTTGAAAGACATGTGGTGGCGTGTTAGGATAATTTTATCAACTTAAAACAACAGCGCCAATAGCAAATCAGGTACATCCAAAATATACGTCAAGTGGCACATTTAATACGATACACTCCAAGTTTCACAGATATGTATGATTATTCTCCAATTACTGGCAGTGAGTATTTCTTCTGAAAACTCTAAGATAGTTTTACATTTTTTAACTCTAAAAATATGAAGAAAAGCAAATGTTTTCAAACTCATCATTCCTTTTAAGTAGATTCAGAGATTTCAAGACAATGACACTTTTCCACATACATACTTTGGGCACATACGCATACAAAATAATACTGGTATCAGAGCACAGATAATTCTGAAAGAAGAACTTAGTAAAAGATTTATTCTGGTATGTTAAGAATTGTAATATTTTAACCACCGAACGACTGAACGATTTATATTATATATGTAAACGGTAACTTCTAAAAAAATGTTTCATTCTTTTTTTCTTGGCAAAACAGAAAGAGTATAGTAGAAAAAGGGTTTTAATTGCATTAATGTTTATTATGTATTATAATAGAGGGTTGAGTACGTTATATTAAAACTATTTTGGAGCCACACTGCGTAGTATACAATCCATGTCGCCACGTCCGGTCATGAATCTATCTGACGACTATGTGTTTTTGACAACTGCTCAGCAGCGTATTTTCCATTGCGAAAGATCCGTCGTAAGTCTATCTTATCCTAAACACATCATTTCCTCTCTGTTTTCTTTCAGAATTCAGCGTCGATTTAAGTAGTCTGATCGATTGAAGTCCAAAGACGCTGCGTCCGCCAAATTGTTCGGTATGTTTTCGTATGGAATAGTATGAATACGCGTAGGATTCTCAATCTGCTTGAGGTATGCGAGGTAGAACGTGATGTATGACTTGGAACTTTATCTTGTTGAACCTATGCAGCGTCGTCTTTAATTCCAGACGGATAGCCTTGTCGATTATGTTGCATACTGTCGCCTTGGAGACATGGACTACTTTGTTCCACTGGCCTTTGTGTTCATGGATTCTTACCTTTTGCATGACGCTGTACATTGCTTACACGGTTAGGGTAAGAGTTATTACTAGCACACTTCTGGATGGCCCTGGGTACAAGTTGATCCACATTCCTTTTTTTGAAACGCCAAATGTCATTCTGATACATTCCGTTCCTCCCCGACTTGAGCCGAGCGTAGACGAGTTGTTAGCATACCAGTCTATGTTTCGAGGTAATTCTTATCCATTTACCGCCAAAAACTAAATATCGCGCTACACACTGTAGGACTCGTGTGCGTTATAAGAAGCATGGCCAAATCCCACTATTCTATGGAAATATTCCACGAGTGCTGACTAGCTGTCTTTCCTCTAGCCTATCACTTCAAATTAGAACTCCCAGTGCAAATAAT